TGTATCAAGTACGACTAATTATCGTTACTGACCATACCTACAAGTTTCAACCTGTCTACAGGCTAGGGATAAGAAAGTATTGAGATGTGCCGGGTACGATTAATAAGCCTTCCTGATCATACATTCCAACTTCAACATATCCAAAGAAAGAAAGTATTGAGATATGCCAAGTTCGGTTAATAGGGAACTTAAGAACCACGACGAAGTTCACGACGACGACGTCTGTTGACCGGGAAAGGACTGGAACGAGAACGTCAGTTTCGTCGGGAAAAAGGAAACTTAAGATGCAGTCGATCGGTAGGTCGACGACGACGACACTGAATGTAAACAAACAAGTAGAAGTAGTAGAACTGTGATGTTCGTTCGCAACAAAGTTTTTTCGCAGAGGCGTCCTTTAAAACGATGCAAGATCTTATTTTATAAGCCCTAGGTCTACTTTCATTGACGATGAAGAATTTTTAGTAATGTCTGACCTTTTCGAATGGAAAAATCTCTGCCTTCCGTACGAAGGTTACTCAACTTTCAACCTGAATGAGATGACCGAGTGCGAGTGTCTGTCAGAGGTTAGTTTTGGAAAAAGAGACACTCCGATGCGATAGCTGTTTTCCAAATAAAGTTCATTTCCTCTATATTAAAGATATATGATTTACCTTTCCTAAATACGTACAAAAACTAAATTTATCACTTACGAGTTCGCTCGCTCGGCCTCTACGGCTCAGTGTTGTCTTCGAAGTAAACACAATTCATCAGTCGAATTTTCAATCAATATCGCTTCTTAGGAGAAAAAAGAAAGGATACCTGGATTTACGAAGATAAAAAATACAAAGCCCTTGAAAAATCGCTTAAAACAAGGAGTTATACCTGCCAAAGCTCGTGGATTGCAGGACGACGTGACTCTACTGTATTTGGCGTCGTCGACGACACCACGACGACGAAATTTGCTAATCGCGCTTGCGCAGTGCACGGTATCTCACTTCCGGTCGTCGTCGACAAAGTCGTCGTCGTGGTTCTTAAGTTCCCTAATAAGCGTTTCTGACCATACCTGCCAATTTCAACATGTCTATACCCCTACAGGTTAAGGGTAAGAAAGTATTGAGATGTGCCAAGTACGATTAAAAAGCGCTCCTGACCATACCTACTAATTTCAACATGTCTACTGGCTGGGGATGAAGAATTATTGAGATGTGCCAAGTACAATTAATAAGCGTTCTTGACCATACCTACCAATTTAAAAAGGCTATAGGCTAGGGATAAGAGAGCATTGAGATGTGCCAGGCACGATTAATAAGCGTTCCTGATCATACATTTCAACTTCAACATGTCCAAAGAAAAAGAGATATACCAAGTACGATTACCACTCGTTTCTAACCATACCTTCCCATGTCATCTTGTCTACTGGCTACAGGGATAATAAAGTATTTGGATGTGACAGGTGCGATTAATAACCGTTCCTGACCATACATTGCAGTTTTAACATGTCCATAGGCTAGGGATAAGAAAGTATTGAGATGTGTCAAGTACGATTAATACCCGTTCCTGGCCATACCTACCCATTTCAACATGTCTACCGGCTAGGGATAACGAAGTATTTAGATGTGCCAGGTACGATTAATAAGCGTTCCTTATCACAAATTCCAACTCAACATATCCAAGAAAATAAATTATTGAGATGTGCCAAGTAGTATTAAGAAGCGCTCCTGACCATACGTACTTATTTCAATACGTCTACACGCTAGGGATAAGAAAGTATTGAGATGTACCAGGAACGATTAATAAGCGTTCCTGATCATACATTTCAATTTCAACATGTCTACAGGCTAGGGATAAGAAGGTATTGAGATGTGCCAAGCACGATTAATAAGCGTTTAATTCTGTGACCATAAATACCAATTTCAACAGGCCGACAGGCTAGGGATTTGAAAGTATTGAGATGTGCCAGGTACGATTAATTAGGGTTCCTGGCTATACATACCAATTTCAACATGTCTACGGGCAAGGGATAACAAAGTATTGAGATGTGCCAAGTACGATTAATAATCGTCCCTAGCTAAATTTACCAGTTTCAACCTGTCTGCAGGCTATAGATAAGAAAGTATAGAGATGTGGCAAGTATGATTAATAATCGTTTTTGACAATCACTACCTATACCTAGTCTTACGCCCCCTGAAGGCTAAGGAAAGAAAGTACTGTATTGAGATGTGCGAAGTACGATTAATTCTGATCACATTTACCCGTTTCAACCTGTCTGCAGGCTATTGATAAGAAAGTATAGAGATGTGCCAAGTACGATTAATTTATATGGCTATTTTTCCTGAACGAGTTATTGCTGAAGAGGTTTCATGTAAAAATTACACCATAAATGGCTTCATACATATGACGTAGTACTGATGAAGAGGTTTAATTTGGATAGTCACACATGTAGGTTTTCGTCAAAAGATTCCAAATTTAAAACCGCGCGAAACATAAACTATACATGTGAACGTACTACTAGAAAGGTTCGATTTTGATAGTCACATCATGTAATTTTGTCCAGAGAGCAATAGTTAGAGCTACATGCGAAATAGCTAGTTTCATGTGAACACGCTACTGAAGAGGTTTTAATTTAAATGGTCAAACTATTGGATTTCATCGACGGACTGGTCACTGAAGTACGATTTCGAACTAAATCAGTGAAACATAAACAAATACAGTCTTGTAAACTTGCTACAGATAAGGTTTCATTTGAACAGCCGATCACATCACGGCGTTTTACAACAGAAATAAACTAGGGACTATTTTTAAAATGTCTCTATTACTGAATCTGGAAGCAAAAAGATTAACTTTAGCGCAAGTCCCAGACGATTGCAGTTTTCTTCTTTGAATTTCCGGCCTTTTCTCTAGAGTGAGTAATAGGCGTCAGTTCCAAGGCCACAGCCTGCTCATTACCATAGAATTCTTCTAGTTCTGTGTCGCCCTCACTCCTCGACGAGCCACCGTAAATCTCTGGTTTCAGCAACTGTTGTCTCTCCTCTGATTCCGGATCGAATTGATCTTCCATGTCACCTGGTAATGGAGGCAAGGGATTGTTTGCAATATTTTCACTTGATCGCCTATAAGAAGAAAACAACGCTGTCAACCATAGTAGATTCCTATAAAATTGACCATACATTTTAGATCATGCGCACGATTATAGAAGGCAACGTGAATCACACTAAAACATTTTACGACGAGCCGATAATTCTGTGAGACAAGATCGCAATGCTCTATTTTACCATTATTATTTCAAATCTTTACGCCAACCTTAATGGACTCGAAACATGATTTGTACGCAGCAAACGGAGTTAGATTTTCTCACTCTGAGAGTTATACACTATTACGCCTTAAATGTCAAAAATAAAACGCGTTCACGTTGATTAAGCGTCTTCCCCTAAATATGCGCCTGCCAAACTGAAAAATAAGAGTCTCCTTGAATAACAATCACCTCCAGCACACCGTCTTAAATATATTAAGTGATGTTATAAGGGAAACTCCTCTCTTCTCTCATTCTCTGAACGCTTGATTAAACGCCGGCATTGACAGAAGGGAACAGTTTCTTATTAGCCTTTTCGTTCGGCTCAATTTTACATTTACCGTGCACAGCAAGACCATTATCTTTATCCACGAGTTAAGCAATGTTATTTCTTACGTAACAATGTAACTGAGTCCCTTTCATTCTTTGCCATGACCATGCACGTGTCTCATTAACGATATACTGTCTCCTCAGTACTCCTTTGAAGAACCTATTTCTTCCCCGAATAAGCGCTCTCTCAGTGGCCAAGCTACTTGTAGTATATAAGCAGAACTGGCCCTACCTATCAGTTATTGAATTAACATAACATAATGTATTTATTGTCGAACTAATATTGGGAAGTTCTTTAGCCTGGGACTTGTTGGCTCCTTTATGGGTACGAATACCGGGTATGGAAAACCCAACTCGCTTGTGGCTGAACTTTTCAAGAATAAAAGCCAAATGCTTAATCGAGAGTACTAACCTGTCATAAACATCTGCTCTTGTCACAGGAACAGTGGGGTCTGAATCGTGTGGATCAAGGTAGTAATCTTTTCTGCCACGGTTGTTGTCTTCTGTTAAGTGAAGGTACTCGGTCGCGACATTCTGTTGTGAAAAATAAGGCCAATATCGAAGTTAGGAATAAACATACCAGCCAGGAGCCCATAACCAGGAGCGAGCAACTTCCATACTAGGCCTATGTCACGGCGTTTTTACGGGTCAGTTTATTTTTAGACACATTTTAAAGGGGCACTTCTTCCCGCGAAAATAAAATCTCCACCATATCTATGAGAGCATTTGAAGTATAAGATTTCAAAACGGAAACCTAAACGTTATCAAAAGGCAGAAAATACCATTTTTAGGTCTGTAGGTTTTGCTGACTAGTTTGTGAAATTTAAAAGATATTCAAAATTCGCGCCAAAATCGTTCTAAAAATAAACTGGTCCGTGAAAACGTCGTGACACAAGGGCAAGTTGCTCACTGCGGGTTGTGGGCTCCTGACCAGCAAAAGATGCGCATCCCTCATAATCTTTCTTTCAATTGGCAGTCGAAATTCTCTGATCTTATAGAATCGTAAATTTTTATAATCTGTATAGCTTTAGCATCTGCGTTGCGTCAGTCTAAAAAAAAAAAAAACCAGCATGCAGATCGTGTTATATCATTCCATGGCCGATCTACGGGAGGGGCCAAGGGGCCCCGGGGGCCCGGGGCTCCACCTTCTTTATATGCCAAACTGCAGTCTACGGGACTAAATGACCGGGTCCCCCACTTAGTTAGAGATTTGAATCCGCCACTGTCATTGCAAATATTGTAATTTTTCAAAGAGCAGACAGTCTAAGTCATCTCTTCATAAGGATATATACACTCAAGAGGGCACCCCCTTTTGATAAACTTCATTTTTTCCTTTGAAGGACCTAGTGTACAATAAGTTCTGACAAGAGAGAGGATAAGTTCTCTTAGTTCCTCCTTTGCCTCAAAAACAGTAGAAAAAAGGCCTCACCTGGGAAGCGCGTTGCTCAAGTATTGTACCAATCGACTGGCTGATTTGATCAAATTTAGGTCGCTTGTCGGGTCCTTCCTGCCAGCAATCTTGCATAATTTTGTAGATCTCCGAAGGGCAGTCTCGGGGATTTTCCATACGGTTTCCATCATTGAGAAAGTCTAGGAGCTCTTCTACGGGTATAGTGGGATACGGTGTGCCGCCCAGTGTAAAGATCTCCCACAAGCAAATACCAAACGACCATCTGCATTGTTAAATGTCAAGGTTCAAAACATACACACTCGAAGGGTCATCACAGCCTGGGTCATTCCAAACCAAAAGGGTGTCAATAAAGCTCTGTAAGCTGTTTAAGCTAAACTATGGACTCGAGGAAACAGATGGTAAGCTGCTATTAACTCCACTACAAGGGAATTATTGGAATCAAAACTTACAAGGCTTGCATATGAAGCGCTACATTCAAGAATAGTTATCAGTAGTATTCTTTTTCTTTCGAGTACTATTTATAAACATGCCCTGATATAAACACGAGATTCGGGTGTTGGGAGAATTTAAGAGAATTGGTACAAATTGCAAACCGCAGAAAAACAGTTTTCTACGAAGGTGCTTTTATAGCGGCAACTTTCCCGAGAAAAAGTTGCTACCTAGCTCTTCGTTTATGGCGCTGATGAAAAGAGCAGTTCTTACTGTTCGCGAAGTGTTGTATCTACACGAAGTTTTGTACGTGTAATCAGTAAGTTTCTGTTTTGCATCTATAATAAAGTTCAGATATAATGTGCGCTCTGATTTGTTGCAAAAGCGTACTTTATGAGAGTATAAAGGACGACACTCTTTTTTTGCTTTAAAAAAAATAAAGATTGTTTTGAAAATTGAAAAGGAATGTGTGGGGAATTCAACGGATTCTTTATATTCATAAAACAAATAAAGAAGTCTTGACTGAGCTCTATTCTGTTGTACTACTCAAGAAGTAGAGAGAAACACTCGACTGCATCTCGTGTTCCCCCCTACACTTCTTTCGTGTTCTAGCCGCTGCCAGTCGTGCGTGCTTTACAACGTACAGAACAGAGCACAGTCAAGGCTTCTTTATTTGTTAAAAAAGGTGATATTTTAAAGGACGGATTGTTCTCCCTTAAAGTGTCGTCTTGAGCGTAAAAACTTTGATATAGCATGTTTTTAAAGATTTTTCAAGTTCCATGCCTCTAAGTTACGGGTTAATAAAGTAAACTTGTCGAGTTTTTCAAACCATGGTTGCGTGGTTGCGTTTAACTGTGTTACTCGCATGCAAACATACTTCTCAGCCAATCGGAGAGCGCCTACTAAACTATGTTATGGCAACTTTAACTTAATTGCAGTAATCAAAAGGCCAGCTTCTTTTTAATTTCAACGCCTAGTTACGCACTAATTATATAGTTGTCATCCTTGAGTACGATCCCCGCATATTTTCATATTCTCCCTTCATTCATTTTTTTTAAATGTCATTTGTACTTACGCATCACTTTTCTCTGAATACTCCCTCAAAGACAATGATTCTATCGCCATCCACTTCATTGGCAAAACACCACTGTTTGTCTTCACATATAAGTCACTCTTGTAAATATTTCGAGCGAGACCAAAGTCAGCGATCTTTATGACGTAGTCTTCTCCAACAAGAACGTTTCTGGCCGCCAAGTCTCGGTGAACACACTATATAAAACAGATATGTTTTGAAAAAAGAAATGCAAAATCAAGAAATCAGAAACAAGAAGGAGATAATAATAATAATAAGTCCGCTAATTTTAGAAAGTCGATAATGGGGTGAGCTTGTAAGGGGAGTTCACGTAACCTTTTCTCCTACATGTTACTTTTTCTAATCCTTTGCGCGAGCTTTTGGCTACTGAGGTCTCCTCTCTCTGAGTTACTTTACTTTTTACCACTTCTTACTCATAATAAACTCTTGCAGTGCGAATACTCGAAGCTGGGCTTTTGGAAATAGATTATCCAAACACAAATCATAATAATCATTGCGGTTTTTGAAAACAAAAGATTCTCATTAAATTTGAGGGCTAATTCTTGAGAGGTCAGGTAAGTTCAAACGGTTTTTAAGTTATCAACAGTTTCATAGTTGCACATTGAATTTTTTTGGTCCGTTTACATTAACAGAAAATCTCTTGTTTTCCAAAAAAAAACCGGTAAGTTCAAACGATTTGATTGGATAATAATCTTTCAAGCGCCCCGGTTCAAGTAGTCATACTCTGTTAAACGCAAAAAACAAACAAATAGGCGCAGATTTAGAGTCGAATGAACGATTTGAATCATGACAAAACTCCTTGAAGCCAAACGGAGCAGATACGCAAGTGCTGGAGAATAGACCTTTTTAGCTTGTATGTTTTGTCTTCCCTTTTCAGAGCACTTGATGGTACCCCAGAAAATCGTTCCTTTCAAAAGTTGTCCTTTGCTCGTGCATTCACGAACATATGTATGTATATTTTATGAAAAGACAAAACGCAAATTGCCTTGAGAACATCACGTGGTGTGAAATGGGAAAATAAAACAGTAGCCAAAAAGGTCTATTACAACCAAGAGCCACTACAGCTCTTGTTAGAACTGAATTTTCTTCAGAAATGTGGGAATCCTTGAACGGGACAACATTACTACATTACCTTTTTAGACGCCAGGAATTCCATTCCACGGGATATTTGGTAAGAGTAGTTTACAAGATTTGATATACACAATCCTATCTCTGGGTCACTCGCAGTCGTAGTCCAGGTTGCGTCATAAACATCTCGCTTGCCTCGTAAGAACTTTTGTAAACTCCCATGTGGTGCATATTCCAGAATGACAAGGATACGATCTCGCTTGATACAAGCACCAAGGAGGTTTACAATGTTTTTGTGTTCTCCAACGTAAATTAGAATTTTCAGCTCTGATGCCAGGTCTCTTACTTCCTCTTTAGTAGCTCCCCCTGAAGTACCAAAATATCGTACTCGGTCAGTTAAAAAAGTGCAGTTTCCACAGGGTCTAGTGGAGTCCATGTAACCATGTCACAAGCAATGTTCAGTTTAACTGGGCACAAACCTCAGCAATAGGAATGAGCACGAACGGTACTCATGCATGAGAGAGGCCCTATGCGAATTGCCCACCTCACCCATGCTGAATCCAGGGGCATGGCTGGAGTTTTTTCCACTGGTAGGCACAGATTCCCAAATCAACCCTACCCGTCTCTCAAATCATTACCGCGCAGGTAACCTGGTAACTCGTCCCCTCCCCCGCATATTATCAGCTGCTACAGTAACTATAAACCAAATTCCTTTTTTGTCCCCCTCCACCAACCCCCGACAAACCAGCCATCCTTGCTCCATGGCAAATGTTACACAAGCTGAAATAGAGATCTTTTGACTTGAAACATTACCTTTAACAGTCTTTACAGCTACGATGGTCTTCGTGTACGCACTGCCTCTGGGATCGTGGTACGCATGGCCGGCCCTCTGTTGACGAAACATTTTAGGTCGCCGCTGACTTTTCTTTTGACTTTTGTCTCTGGGACTAAAGTTGTTTATTCCTATAGCCTCTGCTTTAATGACTTCTCCGAAGGCCCCTGATCCTAGCAACTCTCCAAGAATGAGCTTGTCCTCAGGAAAATCGAAATCAGGGTCATAAGGCAGATCATTACATTGTTCAAGCAGTGTACGATTAGGGTCAATCTAAAACAATCAAGAAATATTTTATTACTTAACGTATACAATAGGGACCTATTTAGTCTAAGCAATGGTAAGTTCATTCCCTCTAACTGAAAACTTTTTGGTTCATGAGTATTACCTGAATTTAGAAGGCCATTTCAGGGAAATGGATCACTTTTTGAATCGAGTCAAAGAATAAACAAAAGCCAGTTTAAGTTTGAAAAGTAGACTTAAATTTATGGCCACTCCGCAAAGAAACTCGGCACCTCGTTCACAGTAGGTCGACAAAAAAAGTCGTGACTATTTTTGCGGAACAGATTGGTTCGTAGCCTGCAATGAAATGAACAAAATGTCAGCCATCTTTACTATCCGTGAGTATACATCTATTTTAAAACGAGGAGCAATCTATGGTTGCAATTTTGCAAATTATGTCTGTCGACTGGCTTCGAACAAGCAACTCAGATGCTGATAAATGTATAGTCATTCTCAAAGGTGACCAACACCATGAGAGTTTACACGAATGTAAAGTGGCCATAAATAAAGCAACCCTGCACTTTCGAAAGGTTACTAAAGATTTTAAGCAAAAGAGAGTCGACGACGGTAGCGAGAAGGTAAAACAGTACCGAGTAGGACTAACAACCAAAAACGACAACTTTGCACGGGCCATCAAACCTAATTACACGACTACGACGTAAAAAGTTAGTCCCAATGCCCGTTTTGCGAAGGACGTTAACCGGCGCTGACGATAAACTTTTTGTTCCCTTTTTTAACTTGGCTGTCCATAGAAATTCAACTACTCCAAGTAAGGTCACCTACGTTTCACATATCAAAGGAAGATGACATTAATCGAGATGAAGTTTGAAAGATCGCAAATTCATTTCATTTTCGCCGTCATGTTTGAACCAAGGTTGAGAGACATTTGCTTATAAAACCCGTTTTCTAATTTTATTGCTCCTCTGAGACAAAATTTTCACAATTAAAAGAAATCCCCCTCCTCCGTTTTTCCGCGTTTAAAGTTGTCATTGTAGGTGTTGAGTATGGATCTTGGAATGGGAGGGGTGTGAAATTTACGCAGTCCAACAAACATCATTTTCAGCCAAAATAAGTTGCAGAATCCAAGCAGGCACTGGTTGTTATGTAGTGGCTTCATTTTAAGCTCGTTTTACATGGTAATTTACCTGGTGTTTTCCAGTGTGTACTGGAAAAAGCTTATTACGATACCCCACAATCTGCCTCCGTTGATGGCGTATAAAGCAAAAGAAGGCGAACCCAAGGACGATACAGAGAAACAGGATTGCTCCAACAACAGAAAGGGCAACAGTGGCTTCCTTACTAAGAACTTCTTTTGGAGACAGAGTTGGGTTGGAGCTGGCTGACACTAGAAAATATTCAAAGACAATATTGCTTATTGCTTCAGTTAAATTACATTATTGTTCATTCAAAATATTTCCCCAATTCTGATTGGCTAAAAGCACGCGCATAATTCACCATAACCAGTTACTGATGACCAAATTTGGAAGAATTTTGTGTTTAACGAGGAAACGACGTCAAAAATGCAGCCCGCTACAGGTTAATGCATTGTTACCGAGAAGAACTGGAGACGAGGTTGAGTTGTTTTGGTTGTGAAAAAAAAATGGCGGACATTTCACCCGTTTCAATAGCAAGAACTGCAGCTGGAACTAGGCGAAATGGTAGCAAAAAACACGGTAAAAACAGCAAGAAGACAACTCAGAGGATGACATCTGCTATTTGGAGGATATTTGCGGAGCTGGACAAACCTAAACGTACACTATCGAAGACGAACTTAACATCGATGCAGGTAAGCATGTTTTAGCTATGTATTTAAACTAGGAATTATTTTGAATGAATAATTAAAGCAATTAATGAATTCTCGGAGGGTGTTATCCACCTCGACCTTCGGCCTCGGTGGATAACACCCTCCTCGATCTGCTTAATTCTTCATATCCTACGAAAGCCGAATTCATTAATTGCTAAATAAATCAATAGGCCCTTTGCAGCTAGCAGTTCACGTGGTACACATTCGCCATGCTGGAGAGCAAGGGGCGCACTGGGACAATACAAACAAGGAGCTTACACATCTATGAGAAAATTTGGTAATCTATCCATCCGAGAAAAATTAGGTTATGACGTAAGCGTACGACCGAACGCCGACCGTACAGACTCTGGGGAGGGGAAACGGGGTCAGGAGTCAGCCCGTCGGTTGGACGAGCATGTTATAGCGTAGCCCCATGGCTAAAAAAATTTGGTTCTATCCATTCGAGAAATGTTGGTACAACCAGTTGCAAAAATGTTGAGACTCTCCCACGAAAAAACAACCTTTCATGCTTTAAATCGCTGCTAATCACAGGTATGTGAGATATAACACTGACCTCCCTCCTCCGTCCCATTCAAAGTTGTTCCTCCAAGTTATGATGTTGACAAGGGTAGCTGGGATAGGCGGGTGACCCATTTAACTTCGTAGATGGAATATGACCGTGCGGGTGAGTATAGTGCTAAATAGGACTCCACTATAGAGATCTTGTGATTCACTGTCAACATACACAACAGTTCTATTTAGGACTACACTCACCCGAACGATCATATTCCACCTACATATAAAATAAAGACCTTTAGATTCGTAGACGAGAACAACTACGAGTACGAGATTTTCTCAATAGTAACTAGTGCTCGTGTGTGAACCAGCGTTATTTTAGAGGAAAAACGTGGTAGCCGTCGTCACTCTACTACGAGTTTTAGCGAGAATGTCGTAGTGGCGGGAACAAGTCATGAAATGTTAGAAGTTTTAGCATTTTGCATTTGGGAGAGAGCTCAACCTCCTTCAATAACGATAACAGTGCTAACTTTTCTGGTGAAAAAAAGTACAGTGAAGAATTTCGGGGTATCTATTTTTTGACAATACGCGAAAAAAATTAAATCAAATATCGTACTCGTAGTAGTTCTCGTTCTTGAATCTAAAGTTCTCTATTGACTTTTAGTACCTACGTTCACAACTCTTCATTATATAAATAATATTTACAAAATAAAGAAAAACATTAAATGGGCCAATAATAAAATAACAACAGAGACATTATTCCAACTTTTATGTCTGCGTATGAAATTCTGTGGTCCGACAAAAATTCTCTACGGGAGTGTTTTCAATGACCAACGTTGGTACTTCAGAGTTATATAAAACAAAATCTGTAACTAGAAATTCTTGAATTAAACGGTTTTCATTATTGCTTTCTCTATGATGAAATTGTTAACAACCCTCTCCAATTTATAATACCGTAATCAAGACATTTTTGCCTCAATTTTGGCTTATCAATAAAAGAGCAATTACAAAACAAGAACTTATACCTGTTTCAACCGGTTCAATCCAAGGACTTGAGCTGTAGACACCCTGCAAACAAAATTGTTTACAATGAGCCTGTATTAACGTGAAAACCGCGGAATTCTCACCAGTGTTCCCTAGAGGAGTTCACTTCATTCAGGCAGAAAACAGGCAGATTATTTTAGCAATGAGAACGCGACGTCAAATAAGAAGGCGAATGAACATAAAAAGGACTAAACTTAACTGTTCTATCATCGGTCAAATTTGTTTACGATTTGCGCATGCCGTTACCACTATTATCGTGTTGTCTTCGCTAGATTTGTTAAATAAGGAAAGAAAGGATTGATACTAACTGAGGATCATGTCCGGGTATTACAGGGCGTCTGCTAAACACGCTTAGCGATCATTATGTTTAATGCCAAACGACCGTCTTACTTAACAACAGGGAAGTTTAGGCGGAAATGGTAAGGAGTGACCCAATATGCAGTCTTAAAAATATCCCTGGTTTTCAGCACTCCGTTTGTCGTAGTTCCCGCGGTTGGTCGCAGTTTTTAGGCTTCTGCAATGGATTACATGTAAATGTAGAAGGAGTTGTCCAAATCAATAAAGCAGTAAAATACAATAGAACGCCCCATCCGTAAGGAAAGAACAGAGATTTGAACTCTACTTAACGTATGTTTCTCTTACACTTTTTCCCGCTCGCACAAAATCGTCTGCCACTGTTGAAATTCGGCCGGGGTATTTTGCAGAACGCTGAAAGGCCGCTGACCGCCGAATGACTCTGAAGTTTAGTGATTTGGTTTAGGTAACTGAGTGAGTCGGGTTCCATTTAGGGTCATTATCCAAGGCAAACTGACCTGAAACTTGATTTACTGTTTCATAACCCTAACCACAAAAAACTTTAGAGTCATTCGGCGACCCAGAAAACACCAGTCTGCCGTTTAACATTTATACTTATATCAGTAACACTCGCGCAAAGGGGTACGTAACCAAAGGTTCACTGATAAAGAGGAACAAGGCTCGAAACATTGAAAAAGTTAAATTAAATTATAAACAAAGAAGATAACTGTTGATGAAATCTAACCTCTTTAACATAGGCACGCAGAAACACCGTGTATAATGTTCCTCCTTCAAGAGGACCGTTGAAAAATTCAAAAGGTCTATTGACCTCTTTTCTCCTTCTTCTGCTAGTTTTGTTTTTTGCTCGACTGGATCGCCTGCTATCCCCCACGGTGAAAATCTCGTAATGATCGAAATCCATGGCATTGAATTCAGCCGCTATGTACGGGACTAAAGTGGGCTTTTTCTTTCGTGCTTCATCGTAAGTGTAGAGATCTTCTCTTTTGTAATAATTTGGCGGTTGAGCTCGTAATATATTGCCTTTATTGTCTGTGGTCAATTCGATCACTATCACTTGGTAATAACTAAGAATAAACAAAGAATAAAAAATAAGAGGCTTTCCTTATTTTATGGGTACATAAAAAGAATTTTAAACGATTTTGAAAATTTTAAGGAAATCATGGACGCAGCACAGAACAAGTAAGTCAATTGGGGAGGAACTGAAAGTGGAAGATCAATGATAAGAAATCTTTATAAAGAAACAAAAGCTGGAGTATCTTGGTCATTTGAAAAGAAGGGAGGCCTTGGGAAAAATCATCTTGGAGGGAAAGATAGATGGGAAAAGAGAAAGAGGAAGACCGAGAAGGCGGTGGGAAAAGGACATACAGGATGTTTTCGACATGTCCTTAACAGAAGTTGGTAGATTAGCAACTGACAGAAACTGTTTCCGCTGTGCGGTCAAAGATGTAACGTCCTGTGGGATAAGAAGTTAGAGAAGTAGTACATGTTGACTAATGGTGGGCTCCTTATAAACTCGTTTATATGACCGGCTTGGCTGCGGAGCTTCTTAAGATTTTACAGAGCTCCACTTGTTATGGGACATAGCAACTTTTTTCGCTTTGTACCTATGAAAAAGTCCGTACAGACTCTGGAGGAAGGGGCAGGAGGATGGTGGAGACTCTGGAAAGGAGGGGAGGGGAGTATCAGGCACACAGCCTTTGCATTTATCTCGGGGAAAATGGCTTTGGCCAAAGTCAACTACATTAGTACCTGTTAAAAAAACAGGTTATTCGCTGATCAGTATCACATGATCATTTCAATGGCTCAAGTATCCAATCCATCACGTGTTTAATAAAGTTGTCTGCACTTCAATACAATTTTCTTTTTCATTACAGGCGCAAATCTTAGTTTAACATTTACACTGTAGTAGTACAGCACTAGTTGGTAGTTTGACTGAAGGAAAAGATTTAAAGAAATAGAAAAAAAAAACAGGCGACGATTAACAGCTGCTAAGAACTACAGTGTAGGCATTAAGAACCAACAGTATAAAAAACAGAATTGACGGACAGGAGATACCCCATGCACGCGCAAAGTCAAACGAACATGGCGTGTAGAAACCTTAGTCCAGTCAAATTGTGGTTTAGCATCAAACTAATTGCAACATAATTTTTTTCAACGCCATTTAAATGTTGGATGGCTTTGTAACAACATACTAAAAATCCGCCAAAATCGGTTCCGTGAAACATGAGGAAAATTGGCAATAAAAATTTTCAACTTTCACCACAGGAAACCCAATTTCAGGAAGATCACAAATTCAGATAAAACATTTGATAATTGTTTTTTTCCTCAAGAATTTTCGATACAACATTGCTAATGTATTTTGGGTAGTTTTGCTTTAAAAACGCCGACTAAATGTGTGAGAAACACCTGGGTCAGTGTTTCGTCTTGACCGCTTTGCACAGGTTACCCAGCCACTCGTTTGACGGTATTTATAAGGGAAATTATTAGTCAGTCTGTATTGACATGATTAAAAATATTAGTAATTTTATTTTATTTTTTTTTGCGCAATATCAGAAATGCAGAAAGTATTTTTAGTTTTACAGGCTTGTAATTCTTTTTTTATCCTGCAGCATGGAATCAAATTTAGTAGCTGACCGATGCTGAACAGTTTGATTTGATATTTTGTTCACCCTCAGTCAGCTACTAAATTTGCATCCATGCTGCAGGATACATGCAACTAAATGTGTGCAATGGACAATAGCTTTGCATCGGTTCAAACTGTTTAAACTATTCCCATTTTCTGTTATCGAGTTTTGTGAGGTAGTTATGTTCAAACCTTGGACACAATATGTGTGATCGAAATCAGGGATTCTTTTTTTTTTCTCACGACATGCGCAACCTCCTTTAGGATTATGACTCCGTACTTTACTATGTGAGTGAATAAATATTCTGCTAAGGGCTCTGTCTGTTTGGTTTTTGCTAGATCATAACGCTCTGCGCTTTTCATTACACCTGGCCGAATCTGTTCTAAAGGAAATCCAGAAAACCAACGCAGTGTGATTGTTCTTTTTTTGTCTTCTTCTTGTAGCGAGGCTCAGATCTAGTTTAGTGTATCTTTGTGTTTAATTTGTATTTTCCGCGGCAGCTCTTCATTTCTTGGTAAGATGAATAAGATTGATTGATCAGTTATCTAAGGGGATTTATATTCCCTCCTTGCATTTCTTTTGTGAGAACAACCCTGAACCTCGACCAGTTTTTTTTTTTTTTCGTCCATTGGCAAATGAAGACCTCTTTTTTCTATAACAATCATGGGATCCTAGACATCTGAAAATAATTGCAGTGGTCAATGAAGGCGCGAAAGTACTGGACATATGTCAGGCTTGCCGGACTTAGCTTCTGATGTGTCACCTCTTTTGGCGGAACCCATGTTTCTCTTCGGATGAGCGTTGTGTAACTCTTCAACTTACTGCAAGTTAACCTTCTGACTGAGTTGCGAGAATTATGCTCTGCGTGGGAATTTCCATTACTCCAGAGACTCTTACAAGATATTTTTATAGCATTGTTTTGCTACCCAGAGTTAATCTTTCCTTTAAAAACCAGCTTCCCTATTATCGCTATTTCGTCTTCTTGAAACAAACGTCTGCTAGAACCAAAGTTCTTATGCGATGAATGTTCCGTTAACCTTTGCGAAGGTAACAAGGTTTTTCCTTTAATGAAAAGGCATTTCCCTCTCATCAAATTCATAGGCACTGGAGCTTAACCTGTTCAAAAACTCTGTATTGTTGTGCGTCGTAAAGAATTAGTAAAACTATCCTCCCCTCCTCTCCAATTCACTTTTAACAAGAAGAAAATGAAAAGCTTCGAAAAGGCGAAACTTGTATATTTGAGGATGTTGGTACGTTAACAAAAATTAATGTATAATGGTAACCGTAAAAGCCAAAGCATTATCTTGCTGGATTTTTGAAAACGTACCGAACGAAAATTGCAGTCTTTTCACTGAGTAAGAGACCAAAAGCCGAAGGGAAAATGAGCCCAAAAATCCTCCTTGAAAAGAACAAGGAAAGGAAAAATAGAAAGAGCGAGGAGAAAGAAACGAGGAGAAGAAGGAACAACAATGGCTGCACTCTTAGTTTTTATGTTGACTTCTTTGGAGATAGTTGTTGAAAGAAAAAAAACTGTTTGTGGGGAGAGCTCTAGTTTGCCTGTAACGTTATTGAAAAATCCAGCTCTGATATATATTTTTCTTACCCCTGCAGCTAACAGAAATCTGATAAAAAAAAGATATCTTTTAAAAGCTAATGATTAAGTAACGACTTTCATTTTTCAGATTTAAAGCCTTACGACTAAATTTGTTGTAGTTTTACAGCCAACAGTTCATTCTATTACTCTGAAAGCCTCCTGTTGTTTTGGGGTTCCTTGAGTGGAACATGGGTCTCCTGTGCAAAAGCCAACCGTGTTGAATATTTATCCCTTTTGAAAAAGAGACACTTCGTTTTTATCAGCGAAAACTAGGTAGCAGTTATTCTTTCTTCTTTCACTTTTCCATAAATGTAACAAACACATTTTGTGCATTTTTTGTTTAACCGTATAATTTCAACTAACGTGGGCGCCCTGTGTTAAAAGCTCAAAATGTCTAACGCTTAATTTTGACATGTTCCGCCTAACGGATTTTGGCGGATTTTTAGTATGTTGCTAGATAGGCCACCCTTACTTAAATGACGTTGGAAACAATTCTGTTGCAATTAGTTTGATGTTGAGCCTCGAAAATGCCTAGATTGACTGGACTACCTCCTACACCGCACATTTTAGCATTTGACATTTTGATTCCTGGAAGTGGGCAGAGTAGAGGACGGGCTGAGGTATGTAAAAAGTGCTTACTGGCTCTCCCCATTCTGTCTTCCCACCGTTTTTCACTCGCTTGCCTTATCGTGTTCGCCCGCTTCTTTTTTGCGCTCGTCTACTCTAACCGGAAGTCTGACAAGTTGACAAGCTATTTTGCGTCAGTCAAAAGTAGCGAGTCTGAGTAACGTTTCAAATAAGTGTTGAATTCACTTGTGCTCAATTTTGTTTTACAATTCTATTTATGCGCATTTTGAAGATTTTATAGTGTTGAAATTTTACACCTTGGAAAGTGTGATGACTTTCATACCTTATTTTTCCATGCTCATCAGAAGCTTTTGCCAACTTAACTCTAAACGAGTTGCTGTTGATTGCCCCTTTGTCAGGAGGGGATATCGGGACCAGAGCAAGAGGAACTGCGGTAAACAAACAAACAAACAAACAAACAAACACTCGACTTAAAAGACTGAAAAGCTAGATTCAACTAACAATCAAAATATCGTCTCTAACACAGGTCCCCTAAAAAGTTATTTTTTTTCTTTATTCTTTATATGGGGATAATTTCACGCGCGTTTTATCCAAAATTCAGCGTATTTCCCGAGCCAAAATTATTAGGATTTGAACAAAACGCAAGTGAAATTATTCCCTAATTATTTGATTACCTATAAATATCACAGGTGACAAATTATGCTCACAATCGTGGGTTTTTGACATGACATCCTGTTTAATCGTATCGATCCAGAACTCCATGCGCTGAAACGTTTAGACCTTAAATTGTGACTTATGTTCATAATTTTTAGAATTTTTCGACAAAATACCTGACAGGTTCCTTTTTGGTGTGCTCTTTTGTGCGTTTATTCTAAAGTGTCTTTAATGTCTGACATCTTCATTCACTAACAGTTTCAAACTTGGACGCCATCTTGGCACTGAGACGTAGAAACGTTGCAATGGTATTTTGCAATTTCACACATAAAATTATAAATTAGTATAGGTAATAGCATGATTTGTAGTGATATTTGGCATAAATACCACGAGTGATATTTCAAAATTGTTATACGAAATTTCACAAGCCGTTAGGCGAGTGAAATTTGAGACAATTTTGAAATATCACAAAAGGTTTGTAATTTTCAGATGTAGGTATTTCAAATTAAGCTGAAATACCACTACTCTAAGCCAATCAAATTACAGAAATTTCTCATGTAGTAGTATAAAAGCTGAAATCTCGCGCAAAAATTAAGAAGTAATTTGGCACCCATGATATTATAAGTCTTTGTTAGTTATTTTATAAATACATATCTACAGCACAAAAAGAGCAAAATTCCAGTACCTTTTCGAGTGTTTTGCGTCAAGAGTACACCATGGGATGTCCCATATTTGTTGATGCTTGACAATCTGATTATGTATTCAGTGGCTGGTTCTAAGTCCTCCACAACCATTCTAGTCTGTGAATAAGGCAAGGCTGCTACTTTGGTAAAGTTTTTGGAGCCTGCTTTTCTGTGCTCGACAGAGTAGCTTTGAATCTGGAAATCGCTTCCATATTTTGGTTTCTCCCACGTTATTACAATGTAACGTGTTTGTACGATAATTACCTTTAAATTTCCAGGCGGTGGTGGTTTCTCTTATTGAAAAAAAAAAAAATGAAAATTTAGAAAATCAGATAACCGCACACAAAAATATGTTTTCTGAGAATTGAACCTTAAATCAGCAACAATAGGGACTTTGTCTTCTTAGGCAACGTTCACACTCGGTGTCCGGGCACGGTGCCCGAGTACGCTTCTCGCAGGACACTAATGTGAACACACCCTTCTCTCAAGTACCCACGCTAGAATTCGGGCACCGTGCGGGTACCCGGGTACCAGGTCTCGACCTTGTACTTGGGTGCAAAAGTAAACACCGGGTCCCCGTGTGCACACGGTTTTTGTATGAGTTCCGGACAGTCCACTGCTTAGTTCTCGCTGCTAAGCTCACGTTTCAAAATGGCGTCTGACAGAGCGAAATGGAGTAACTACGTACACTGTCACACATCAATCAAGGTGTGAACACAACACCATTTTTTTGCCGGTACCCGGACACTGGTTCCCGAGCACCAAGTGTGGACAGCTCCTCAGAGTCAATGAAGTAACTTACCTGCAACAATAAGAGCGGAGATACGCAAACTGTCTTTAAACCAGGTATTAAATCCTTCTATAAAATGAGTCAAAGCCTCAGCTTTTGAAGTATTTTCATTTACTATGGCTAAAGCCAACATCTGGGCGTTTACGCTTCCACTACTGGTAATTCAGAAGAGAAAATTGATAAATACGAAACAAAAACAAAAACAACAATTAATCGTAACTAGTAGATGACGTTCATAATTAATCCCGTTTCGGTCTTGGTAAGACTAGTTCGGTCACAGAGAACATGACATAACCCAAACACGCCCATTCGTATGTGCACAGGACAGTGACAGATTTCTGTTAGTTAAACAATTTTTCGCTCAGGCCGAGCCACTTTTCAAAATCCAAGTCTTTGGCAATAGTTGCCACCATTAAAATTTCTAGCCAAACATTTCCAATATATGACACGGTGCTAAGGAAGTTTTCTTCGTCTTCGTCCGAAGATGACGTGAAGTTAAACTAAAAAAGAAGAGCTCATGAATGACCCCACAAAAAGCTTTTGGCTGCGGTGAACCTTTAGAACCAGCAACATGTTGCCTCTTAAGACTGAGAGCGATACTACCTGAAGCTCAAAACTCTGACTTCGTAAATCTTGAATAAAGAGGATCCAGTGAACCGGATATTAATCTGCAACGCAACAGTAGTCTTATTATTTTTATCAAACCAAAAACAAGGATGGGCGCAAGGCAGTTAAGTGTTCATAAAAGCGCACCTAAAACTAGGCTAAACGATGGCGAAATCGCAAATCAACTGCCAAATAACCCTTGCTTACCTTCGCGATAATATTCCTTTCCATCACTATGAACTTTTCGCTATTTCTATTAAGTAGATCCTTATGAAAGCAAGTGTTGATCACAAGCTCAAAGTTTAAATCAACCACAATGTTACCTGAAAAGACAGAAAAATTATTCAGTCTTAAAAATGGAACTGCAACATATTTTACCCTATGGTCAGAAGCGAAGCTAATGAAAGCATGTATGCGATGTCAGAGCCACTCTCCGATGTTCTTTATCACTAAAAATTGAAAAGCACCTCTCCAGAGACACTACGTGCTAATTAGGTCATTCACTTTAAAAACTTAATATCATCAACGTTTACAGAGTGTACAATGGCACTATATATAATTGGGCTACACCCATCCCTCTACTTCAAGAATATTGCGATAACTAATAATTAAAATTAATTACAGAACAATTAATGGAAGAGTGCAGAGTGGGGTTGCATTTACTAACCGTTTTGCAAGGTTTGTACAGTAGTGAGGTTTCCAGGTGGTCCGTGACCAGCTTCGTTAAAGCCATTTACTTTAATTTCATACGAAGTGCGGAAGTCAAGTCTGCTGATCACAACTTCTGTGCTGTTACTAGTAACATTCTTTTCAGTATATAACTGGGATCCACGGCGTCTGTATCTTATGCGGTATCCCAGGAGCTTTTCATTGTAAGGGAGTGGAGGGATACGTTCCCAGGATATGTGAATTGCAGTTGAGTTGAGAGGATATCCTCTTACGAAACTCGGGCCGTCAGATGGAACTGGTGAATGGAAATTTTCGCAAACACTCAATTGCACAAAAATGAGATAAAAAGGGAGGGAGGAAGGGAAGGAGGAAAGGAGGAGGGAAGAAGGAAAGAAGAAACGAGGGAAGGAAGGAGGGAGGTAGGAAAGGAAGAGGGGAATACAGGGACGGGGGACAGAGGAAGGAAGGAAGAAAGGAAGGGAGGGAGGGAGGAAGGAAGGGGGGAGGAAGAAAGGAGGGAAGAAAGAAGGGGAGAAAGGAATGGAGGAAGGAAGAAGGGAACGAAGGATCAAGGAAGGAAGGAGGGAGGAAAGAAGGAGGGGAATACAGGGAGGGGGGACAGAGGAAGGAAGGAGCGAGCAAAGGAAAAGGGAAGGGAAGAGGGGGAGAAAGGAGTGGAGGAAGGAAAGGGGGGAACGAAGGGTGAAGGAAGGAGGGAGGGAGGAAAGGAAGAGGGGAAGGCAGGGAGGGGGGGGACAGAGGAAAGAAGGAAGAAAGGAGGGAACGAAGGAAGAAGGAAGGTAAGAGGAAAGGGGGAGATAGGAATGGAGGAAGGAAGGAGGGAGGGAGGAAAGGAAGAGGGGAATGCAAGGAGGGGGAACAGAGAAAGGAAGGAAGGAATGGAGAGAAAGAGGGAGGGGGAGGAAGGAAGAAGAAGGGAAATTAACAAACAGAAGAGAAACAAAAAAACATAATGAGTAAACCAACGAAGAAGGAAAATAATTATACTTTACTCATCAGTCTACTGGCAAAGTATATCTTTTGGTGTAACTAATCAAATGTACCTCTTTGACAGCATGCACATTGAACTGCGCTTTCTTAAGCTGTAAGATTTTGCAAAAACAAAACCTAAAAAGTACCTCTTGGTGGGCAGCGGGATATGTTGCAGTACTCCCATCGAACCTTAGGGTCAGTGGTATAGCACCAAGGTCCATCCGGGGCACTAGCATCTGGGTTACGACACATGTTGGAGTCATTCTGACCATCAACAACATCTTCAGGAATCCGCAGATGACGATGAGGGCATTGAGAAATCCACCGCTGACAAGAACGGCCTGAACGAGTTATATTCACTTTACCGCGATATCCAACGCCAATGCCATGGTAGCAATCTAAGGATTGCATATTGTACTTAGCAAGTGCCTCTTTTGACGCAGTAAGAAAATTCAAAAACTGACATTTCGAGTGTCAGTCCCTCGTTAGACAAGAGATCAGTCAGGCTAGTGCTTTAGAAGCATGCTAAGAAAAGATTCACAAACCTGTACTTCTGGTTTTGTCACCTTTAAAAAAGAAAAAGAGAAGAACTTTACGTTAAGACTCTTTCTTTTTCTAAAAAAAATATAAACCAGGCCCCAGTTGTTCAAAAGCTTGATGGCGCTATCCACCTGATAAATCCCTGTCCAGTTGAAGTTTCTGGAAAACTGCCCACCTACTCCTCCCCTAAGCCAACATTTTGCCCTAAGTGAGAAGTAAGTGTTAATGTTAGCTTAGAGGAGGGGTAGGTGGGCAGTTTCCCAGAAACGTATAATGACCCATAAGTATTAAAGAAAACAATTGTACGATAGCGTTATCAACTTTTTGAACAACTGGGGGCTGAAGCCACAGGAAATATTACAAGTAATCACCTGGTAATGCAGGGTGTTGGTAGCATTCTGATGCCTCTCCTCCATTGGCAGCGGGGTATATAGTGCAGTTGATTAGATTTTCGATAAAAACAGGATCTTTTTTCGCAATTGTTCTCAGGACATCTAACTCTTTTGCGCAGTACTTTCCATGGATCACAAACCGACAAGTCTTACGACAAATCCCCTGAGCACGAGGCTTGTTTAGAGAGGTATCACACAATGGAAACAAATAGCGACAGGCCAATCCCTTGATGGAAAATTGGCATCCTTCAGATATAAATCCCGCTTTTAAGTAAGCATTGAACCTTGCATTGAGACTCTCGCTTCTTCTCAAGGAACCAGAATCCCCATAAACATATCTACCACTTATGATGTCTTCACAGGCTCCAGCTATTTTAGGGTAAAAAGAACAATACGCGTTCCTAATGGCAGAGCTGACTGGGGGCTCCGCAGGAATACAGCTGGAAAAAAAAAAGGCATTTGCGAGCAGCTTGTTCTACCTTTGGTTGCTCATCCATCTGGCTTTATGTTACTGTCACGGTAGGTATTTACTGGAAATAAATACAATGTTATTTTGTGGCAAACATTTGAAGAACGAATTAAGAGCCCCCTTAAAAAAAACGTCCCCACCCAACCCGTCGAATAAACCCAACTCAAAATGGTAAATAAGCGCCCGGGCGTCAATTCAAGCATCTGCTGTAACTGTGGACAAGAAGTTCTTCTGACACAACCACACGTTCTGTTAAGACTAACCTGGAGTTTGTTTCTTGTGGAATCGAGACGTTCTGTGATGCTGAAAGAAGGATTAAGACAGTCAAGCAATCATTAATTTAAGTAAGGATTGAATTTAAGTAAGGATTGAACAAAGAACGAAGGAAAAACCTGGCTTGTAGGTGAAGATTCGTGTTTTTAATCAACTTTTTACTTATTTCAATAAACCAGTCACTGAAAAAAAGAACACTTTGTACAAGAGCAAATAATCCTCTTGTTGACAGAAAGCGGCAGGTTTGAATCGCTATATGGCCACTACGAAGTCAGTCTAACCTAATGTCGTTTCGTTTCACACTAATTCTAGCATTTGAAAGTGGATCTTATTCTACAACTTTCCTTAGCTTGTTATTGACTTTTTGGTCAAGCTGATGCTAAATTCAAGCAAATATTTTAAGAAACACGCTCAAATTCGAGACAGCTTTGTTGTGAAGTTTTCATCGCACCTATTAAAAATTTTAGTTGAGTTTAAACGGGCACATTACGCTGGAATAAGCGAATTTCATTTGACTAGAGAAACATTTGGGTTTTCAAATAAATTTTTCAAAAAATAACTTCGTGTGTATTATTTTGTTCCTCAGTGTTCATTCATAACAGTCGTTCAGAGAACGGTCGAAAAACAACAGCTTCAGCGCCGGCTGTGTGTCCGCGAATTTCAGTAACAACTTTGACTTTAATTTCATAGCTGGATTTCCCCAGACAGATTCGATACAAAGCTAGTTAATTTCTGTTTTAAAATTAGTGTTACCTGTTATTCTGAAGGAATTACAGTCAAATTTTCTCATTTCTACTTTACGTTTATTTCAAAAACTGTCACATAAATAAGCTTGATAATTATTTCATTTATTTAGTTTCAGCTTATTTTTTAGAGTCTTTTTAGTTTATAGTTGCAGCTATAGTTTTCCCTCAAATGAAAGTTTTTACCCTAATATTAAGAGCAAGTAGACAGATGCCATTCAGAATAACAACAAAAAACGTTTTGCAATTTGCCTGAAGACGGAGAACGGTTGATTCAGCTAAAGAAAGACTCAAAGGCACGTTTTTGAAAAACATTAAACATGATTTGTTTACGCGCGGGCAGATGGCAGCATACATGAACTCGGACCGATGACTCAGCCGAAGGCAAATGGAAAATAATGTTTTTATCTTTTGATTATGTAATAAAAGAAATGGTAAACGTTGCAGCTGTGCAACCATGGAGTTATGGATGCACTTGGGAGGTTGGCTAAGCACTCAAGAAGCTCGAGTCGCACTCGCTATCGCCTCGTGCGACTCTTACGCTTCTTTCGTGCTTAGCAACCTCCCGCGTGCATCCATAACTCCATGGTTGCACGCTGCACGTTTACCATTTCTTAAACATTACAACATGATTTTTAACTTGTAATTTATATTATCACAATTAAGCTCTCTTTAGAATAAAGAAAGGTTTTTGTGTCTTGGTAGACAATTCATAATCTGAGTGTCAAACAAGGATAAAAGAATTGACGAACTTAAAAGCCACAGGAAAGAAAATACATCAAAGATTTTCTTCGGCTGAATATTTACTTTAAGATTAATTCAATCGAGCGGGATTAAAACTGCACAAAGGCTTTATAAAAAGAGCTAATTACACATACCAATCTTAGGGTTTTGAAGTGAATTCGAATAAAAGAAGGCGATGTGGGTAACTAAACAAGTATATAAACAAAGAAATAAAAACGGGGATAACCGACTGCTGGAAAAGTTGATCGTGTTGTTTATTCAAGATTGAAAGCTACATGCAATCGTTGACAACAACTTTCTCTGAAAAATAGAAAACTAGCGAGGCAAATTCAATGAAAAACGGCAGAATCTAGATTCAGGCAGCAAAAATGGAAAACAAACCTACAAACAGAGGAAAAATGTCGAATAAACGGTGCATGAGAGCAAGATTGCAGTACTTACAGCGTAGGTTATAAAACTAGTGAAGCGACATCACGAGCCGCCTGTTGTGCTTTACTTTAGCGGTTTTCCTAGCTGACTTGCTTGATTCCGCCTTCAGTTGTTTTGTCTGAATAACAAAATTCACTTTTCCCTAGCTAACGCTAATAATAGCGCAAGTTTTAAAAGAAAAATGGTTCTGAATCACCGGTTTTGCTCATTCACAACAACAAACAAACTTGTGAATAAAGCTGCCAACGATTCCGCCCGGGTTAGCGGGCAAGATCCTAAAAAACTGCCCGCTCTCGGAACCAATCAGATTGCATGTAGCTTTCAATCTTGAATAAACAACACGAACAACTTTTCCAGCAGTCGGTTATCCCCGTTTTTATTTCTATGTTTATATACTTGTTTAGTTACCCACATCGCCTTCTTTTATTCGAATTCACTTCAAAACCCTAAGATTGGTATGTGTAATTAGCTCTTTTCATAAAGCCTTTGTGCAGTTTTAATCCCGCTCGACTGAATTAATCTTAAAGGTCAAATGAACCAAAATTTTGACCTTTTTTATTCTAGTTCAGTTCTAGTGAAATGTGTTTAATATGAACCAAATAAACATACTATGAAGTTTCAGCTCAATTGAAGCAAGTATCTCCGAGATATTCGCAATTAAAAATTGCTATTTTTTGGCCCTTATCTTCGTAGAGCGGTCGGAAAAATTGTCAGAAAAAACAGCTTGTGACGTCAATGTTGGTCAGGTGAAAAAAAGCGGGAAATTCAAAACAGAGTTTTTCAAGTCGAATTGGTGCAGAAGTGATTTGTGCGGCCATAAACCTGGAAAGAACAGGCAATTTGTCTTCAAAAGTTGCAAGCTGTGGTTATAACCTTCTTATTATTTAATTTTCTCGAAGAATACATCATAGTAAAACGGACTTTAACGACATTTACTAATTTCCTTGAGTTGTACTGGAAATGTGCGTGCGTAAGTCCGATTTTTTTCAAGATGCATTCACAAAATGTGTTCATATAAGGAAGTTCCTGGATATATAAGGTCCGGAGCTCCACCGTGGACACAAAAACAAAATATCTTTGTATAATAATCTGCCCAAAGAAATTCAAGTTTGCCCACAATGTGTTTGAAGTCACTGAACTTTGTCGCACTCGTGTTGATATTTTAAAACCCACGCTCGATCGGACACTTCTAGCTTCGCAGATCACTAAAATATAAACAAAATCCTCAATGTAGAAGTTTTGGCGTTGATATGTGGGCAGAAAAAGAGTTAATCTTTATCTAGTAAATCTTCCCCAAGATCGTTTTCAAAGCAACCATAGTTTTTTAAACTTGATCGTTTCGCGCAGATTAATTTTGCTTTGTGTTGTCAAGTTGAACATGCATAACGCCTGTTAAAAACTTACGCGTAAGAGATTTCCTTCAAACAAAGTTAAAGTTAAATTATTGCAAAAACCTCTTTCCAATTATGTATAAGATTTAATTACCGATCGAGGTCACTTTAAGGACCACAGACGCCACTTTAAGCTGGCAAAGAGATGCGACAAGCAAAGAACAATTCCATCATGCATAAAATTCAGCTTAAGTGTACTAAAAAAAGCTTCAATAAGGTTGCAAAACAACAAATTTTCATTTAAAAAACATAAGGCTTAAGGCTCTTATACCTGCTGACAAAGAAGAAGAGAATTTTCTGTACGGAAACAACCTACCTAAAGATCTTAAAAGCAAAAGATCAGTTTCCAGCTTCGCAGCCTAGTCATGATTCCGACTACTTAGCTAGATTAGCTACTTTTTTAGTAATAACTGGTCCATGCGAGGGTACGGTCTCGGCATTCAAGCAAATTAAACTCAGCAAACTGAATCATTAGAAAATACAGAAAACTGCGCATAAGGATTTGTTTTGCTCGCTTCAGTCAAATCCAGCTCCAGCAATTGTTTATCGGCAAAGAGTCGATTGTTTTGGAGTCACTGCCGGCAGTTGTCGTTCTCCACTACTTCACAGTGAGTGAAAGGAAAATTTGCGCACAGAAAGATAACAAAACTATGTAATTAAAACTGAAAAAACTAAAGGAAAAAAACTCTGACTATTATTACTTGAGCAACAGAAAAATGATCGAAGTAGTCTTTTCTTCTCGAGTAAGCTTGCTGGCCTTCTAAAGTTCCGAGGAAGTTTTAAGCGCTCAAGTTTGTTCACTCGCAAGCGTTAGGATTACGGTTCTTTGACATAAGACAAGGATAACGCTGGTTCTGCAAAGCTAAATAAATCTGGGCGTGTAAAAAAACTAACCGTAACTTATAATAACAGAATACAAGCGGGTTTTAATTCAGTCCGGCGAAAGAAGGCGAAGAACTGGACACAAAATCAATTCACAAATCGAATGCACAATTCTCAGAAAAATACAAACCTGTTTGGAAATGTTCAAAACGTTTTCTTCCTCCTCAGACTGACGGATGATCTGTTTTTACTCTAACATTGGTTGTTCTGAATCCAAAGTAATTTTCAAGTGACGAAACAACAACAACAACAACTAAAAAAGCCTTTACAAGGAGCAAACGTTCGTGTATTTCATTCAGTCTCAGTGCCCTCAGTCAGAACTCTCACAGAACGAGACAAACAAACTCAGACGATAAGGGATGCGAAGAAACTTGCGCAGAACGTTTTTCCGCCCTGAACGACCAACATTGACGTCACGTAGTCTCCAGTCTATCACAAGGCCATTTCAGAAACGTTTTCGTGAAGTTTTCGGAAATGATCGGATTTTGATCTTTTATATTTCTATAAAGGCTTGGGAAGAAAAATCTTTACCCAAATCTCACTTAGGATGGTTCTTTTTAGTGTTTGGTGGAGGTAAAGCAACAAAAGAAAATATGTCAATTTTTTGGTTCATTTGACCCGGGGGGGGAAGCTACTTCCCATACATTCTCTTAAATGAAATCCAAACGATGTTCTCACAACTTGCAAAGCGATCAGCAACGGTCTTGCCAGCGGATTTGTGTACTGATCATGCGCATTACGTCAAAAACATAGATCAACGGTCTTGACAAAAAAGCAAAAACATGGCAGCCGAAGGCGGGACTGTTTCCTGTGTTTCTCACTATTATATTTTGGTAATTCGCAAATTTATTGATTTTATGTCGCATGTCGCTTTTCAGACATAGTGTGTGGTTTTCTTCTTTGGCATTTCTGTTAAACAATTTCCCTTTGCAGAGTTTGGAATATGCAACGTATAGCTCCGTATAGCTGCTAAGAACCGCCGAAGAGTTGTCAGAGCTAGCTATCGAGCAGTGTTTTGCTGCAAACCTTAGGAAAGTTAAAGTCGCTTCAAGGTACAGAGCTTTTAGTAGTAGTTGCGATTTGTTTTAGGATCGTTTTGAATTTTAACTTTGGATTCAAGGTGTTGACTGATCGAAATAAACGAAGTGAAATGTTATGAAGTGTTTATTTTTATTCAGTTATGATATGTAGAGCAGTAAGCTCATTTTTATAAAGCTCTCTTGAATATACTTGCTTCCGATGAATTTGACACTTGCTCCAGTAATTTTTATCAGCATCAAGTTATCCTTGGCCGGCAAAAACGATGTAACCTATAAATAAATCCATCGAGCGCGTTATTGTTGGTTAAGATCTAGTACGGTTGGGTTTTAGTTTCCCCGCATTTCAGTACCGAAAAACAAATATTATATGCAAGAAAAACAAAGACGCATGATATGATTTTTTTTCAATTTTTTTCGCATTTCTGATTTCCTCTGTCAGTTCGCTTCTTGCTTCTAAAAAGTCTAAAAATATTATTTTACTGTGGGAAAAATACTGTAATTATCCGCTGACCACCACGCTGGGTGACCGCTTTGCAAGTTGTGAGAACATCGTTTCTCGGTCCCAGACCTCGTCTCTTCCCCTCCCCCTGATTTGACCTTTAAAGTAAATATTCAGCCGAAGAAAATCTTTGATCTATTTTCTTTCCTGTGGCTTTTAAGTTCGTCAGTTCCGTTTTATCCTTGTCTGACACTCAGATTATGAATTGTCTACCAAGACACAAAAACCTTTCTTTATTCTAAAAGAGATCTTAATTGTGATAATATAAATTACAAGTTAAAAATCACGTTGTAATGTTTTGTTTTGGTTTGCAATCGATCGCGCCCTTTGAACAAGGCGCCCTTCTTCAACACACAGGTTGGAGGCTGAAGTAAAATTTTCCTGAAACTTTTAAATCTCAGTAGGAAAAAAATAAAAATGTTATTTACCGGCCTGGGTCGGTCAGTATTTGGAGAAACTGTGCCCTCGGTCTGAGTATCGCCCTCGGCCTACGGCCTCGGGCGGTACTCAAGACCTCGGGCACAGTTTCTCCCAATACGGACCTCCCAGCCGTTGAATAACATATGATACGACACGCCTGATTTCCTTCTTCTTTCTGAACCATTCTAATTTTTTTTAAATAAATGCAGCCGCAGATTAAACAGTTTCATCATTTTGTCGCCATTTAAAAACATGGCTAACTGTCTAGCTCTTTGGATCTCACAAACTATGTCCAAACTTTCCGTACGTCTAATTTCACCAAAGTAACCTCTAAACTAAAGGTTTTTTCGCCCAGGGTTTGTGTGACGTTTGTTACTATGTATGAGTGATAATCGAGGAATTCATGTGAAACGCATGTTTTTTCGTAGATTTACAATCGTGCATGAGCAGTTACTCTGGATGGCAAAAAAGGTACCTTTATTACGCTCGTTATACAAATAAGTTCCAAACTTACCACAGAAAGACAAGGTTACAACGAACAGGGCAGCAATAATATGAAGGTCACCTGTAGCCATTTTCACCAACGCTTCATCAAATCACAAACCCACCTCGTACGGAACATTAACACTGCAAAGCGAAGTTAAAAGATCGCTGCTGTTAAGCCAATAACGTTATAAGTAACATTCGATAAGTCATCATGGGGTAGGATCCGTTCTTTTCGCTTTCTATTAGACTGCTTGCAGTCCGCCTTTTCTCTTAAAATCCGTCTAGTTCTTATCTCAGCCGGCGCAATTGCAAACCACGACGTTATGTTACATCAAGGGATTGGGATCAGACGACAAAAGACGGACTGCGGACTCTTTAGTAAACAAACCCTCCGTCAGCCCAGAAACGGAGTAACCGATTGGTCAATTTTACAGCTGTTGACAGATCATTGACTGGTCTGTGGTGGAGTTGCAAGCAATAAAAATAGTCACGCATCACAACCAACTACGAACGATAACGAACCAAGCGGTAATCGCTTGTAAACTAAAACGTTAAAGGATATCTTACAGAAGGAAACTGCTGTAAATTTCCTCTAGGGAAAGGAATTCAAGGCAATCTTACAGGATGTAAAGAAAGTGTAATTTTTCAGTTGTTTATGTTCTATTTATAAATCGTGTCGAATTAATGGGGTTTAATTGGTTAATTAAATTACATTGACAGTTTCGTTGTACCCAGACAGAACAAAAGAGTCAGCAGTCTCTTATTTTTTCTTCTTGGGCTTACGCCCTCGTTTATCGCGGTTCGCGCGCGTGGGTTTCTCGTGCAGCAACTTTGAAAAGAAAAAAAAGACACTGCTCGTAGTCTAGCTTTCTATAGGAGGCCATATCATTCAAAAGTGGTATGAATGCTCGATCGATGATCAAGATCACGATCGCTATGATTGAGTTTTTCGATCGGTGGTTGAGAATGAAGATCTTTATGGCTGAGTTTATCGATTGATTAATGAGAACCACGATCGCTATTATCTAAACAGGGTTTGTATACTAGAAACACAATCGCTGTGGTCGAAAGAAAGATCGGTAATGAGCTCTGAAGATCTAAAGGACTGGAAAGAAGAAGTGTCCATTGGGGATCCAGAATGTCAAAAATGCAACGATTTTGGCGGTGACAATCAAAGAGAACTGGAAACAAGTGGGGATAAATCATGTTCCTTACATCAATTAGAAGGTACCTTCGCGCCCGGAATTTCGCGCCAGTTTTCCGAAAAAGAGGGCAACCAGCAGGAACTCGTCTGAAAAGGGGAAGAACTTCAACAGAAAGCATGTGAACTGTCTACGATCCTTGGCAGCGAAGTCACCAGGAGAACAAGCCCTAATCCACTTAATCAAGCCGGTTCCTCTGGAAGTTCTAGCTCTTCCAGCCGCTCCTACATGCAGAGCTTTCGAAGGCAATTTACCACTTCCGGACACAACTTATTTCGCGGTAAAGGAAAAGGGAAATCGGTCGTTAAAGGGCTTTTCATGAGAGATGTGATATTGCTAACTGGTCCAGATATTAAGGCCGGGGAAGAGAGTGTGGTTAATGGACAACGGCCATGTGATTTCTGGTTTTCAGTTGCAAAAAGAGTGGCCAGAGTGTCTGGTTGAAGCTTGCCTGAAAGAAGCATTTGAAGAGAAAATTCCAGATGGTGTAGATTTCGAGATTCTCATGCCCGTCCACAGAACCTTGGTGAAACCGACTCTTGCTCCTGGTCAAGTTCTAAACGGCGTAATGGTGCACAGAATATTTAAGGAAAAACCTATATACATCAGACCATTAGAACAAATATGTGATGTCAGCAGTTTCAGCATGAAGAGATCCGCAGAAGAAAATCAGGAGGATGACCCTGTACCTCAGAGTCCAAAGGTAAACTTCTTATGTGGATTGATATGCTATCTACATTTTAACACCCTCGGGACTAGTTTACCTGTATAATGTCGTGAATAAAATATGCCGTCCAGTTAATGTAACCCAGCCAACCACTGATGCAAGCCCAAGACAATGTGTGCATTACTTGCCTGCCACCTTGAGAGGGCTGGTTGTTAATTCATAGATTGCATTTTTCTTTTTCAAATTTTTTAGGAGATCATTGTTGAATAGACTGAAGAGGATCTTCCACAGATGTTGGATGCTGCTCGTGAAGGTAAAATATTTACTGAATATTGTCTTGGGAAATAAAGAGAATAGATGCTGCCTATTAGCACTGTACTCTGACACCACAATATACAACTTCAAAAACAGAACAAAACTTTGAAAACTACTGAAAATTTTGTTTTGATGCCATTATTTATTTACAGAAAGCCCAAGTACAAGTGTAGTCGACCAGATGCCGAAATGCACAAATGATCTGGAGTTGTCATCCGTTATTGTCAATTGATCATAATGATTTTGTAGGTATAAAATCGGAAACTCATAAAAGGTTGAAAAAATAAAATACTGTAAAATCGTACATTTTTGTAACCCCTCATTTTTAGGAATGCCCTGACAAAAAAATTTCTCTTTAAAATTTTTGTGAAATTATGATGCTGGTGATACATCATTTTCACCGCACCTGTTATATTATACTTTTTATGACACAAGCCGCAAGTTCTGTCTGTTATTGTTGGACAGCTTTGTCACTTTTTGCAAGTCAAGAGATATCTCATGGAGAACGACCTTTAAAGCCTGTGACTGTTCACAGGGCTCTGCTAAAGGGTGAAGTGATTGATATATTCAGGCATTCAAGTATCATACTTTTACTATAATTGGACACACTGGAGTAGAAGAGGAAGGACAAGTGTCAGGGGTACTAAGAGAGGTTTTAACAAATTTTTGGCATGAATGTTTCTGTAGTTTGACTGTTGGTGCATTAGAAAAAGTTCCTAGTGTCAGGCATGATTACCAGACAGGGGAGTGGGAGGCAATTAGCCGATTAGCCGAATAATTGTGTATGGTTATTCATTTGCTAAGTATTTCCCCATTGCCCTGTCCCCAGCTTTTGTTGCAACTGTGTTTTTTGGGGAGGGAAGTTTAACACCTGAGTTTTTAATTGAATCTTTTAAGTCATGTGTGTCTCTAGATGAGAGTAAGGTTTTAGATAATTAAGGCTCTTGGAAATGACTTTGACCCCAAAGATGAAGCTCTACTAGATTTGCTAAGTTACTTCAAGTGTTACAAAAGTCCTGCCAAAACCAACATTTTCAACATAGTACATGAGCTTGCACATCAAGAATTGGTACAGAAGCCTCGATATATGGTAGATTGTCTTGCTCCAATAATGAATAGAATGAGGGTCTACACACCATTCCAAACTATGGAGCATCTGCAAAAACTTTACAATAAAAAGAATCCTACTGCCAAAAGGGTAATTAATTTATTGTCAGCAAATCCTACACCAGGGGCTGAACAAGACAGTTTGGAGCGTTTAAAAGGTTTGTGAAGAGCCTTAATGGCAGTGATCTTGGGGGCCTGTTACAGTTTCTGACAGGTAGTAATATTATTTTGTGTGAAACAATTACTGTTTCCTTTACAACTCTAAAAGGAAAATCTTGTCGGCCTATTGTCCACTCCTGACTGGACCATCACTAGAGTTACCTTCAACTTACCAGTGTTATTTGCAGAGGAATTCACAGCACTTCTCAATGCCAAAGATTCCTGGTCATTTAATATTATTTAGGTTTAACTTCGCATAGTTTAGGGCCAGAGTTGTTGCAGTATGGATGTCAGTCACCAGGCTTTTTGGTAGTTTTTGTTTCCATTTTTGTTGGTTATACACTATTGCATATCTTTCATGCTAAGGGTAAGAAACCCTCACTATTTATTTATAGATGTTGGAAAAGTTAGCCTAAAGTTATGACATAGTAATGTCTTGGTGACATGCCAACTTTTGTATATCTACTATACAAAAAGTCAACCACTTTATTGTTAAAATTACTTTTAATCAGCAGTTCAAATTTTACCTAAGAAGCAAATGTTAACCTTTAGGCACCTTCCATAAGTAGCAACTGATAGGCCTTGGCAGCTTATTTTTACTATGAATAAAAACTGTCCAGCCAGTTAAGTATACATGCAGTGACTTCTAAAAGAGCCAAAATAGTGTGAACAGCAGTAATAGGTTTTCAGTGAAACCTTTTATTATTTTTATTTCTTTATTGAATTTACCTGAGGTCCATCCAGTTATTTTTGCCTTTTGGTAAGTGCCCTAAGATTTCTCAAACATAAGAGAAGAAATGAAGTTTCATATTCAGTTATTGTTCCTAGCTACAGACTGTATGGAGTCAGCATGTTGTTTATGTTCTTACAATAAACCAATAAACCTTGTTACTTGTTACTTTCACAAAGTCTTTATAAGAATTCATAATCAAGTAAATATTTTTGTGCAACAAACAGTCTTGAATTTTTAAGCTCAAAGTTCTTTTTTTTTCACATCCCTTTATAGTTTGTTTATTACCTGTCACTTCTCCCTGCTAACACCTCACTTCAGGTTAGTTCAGTCTTTATGTAGCCAAAGTAAATTACAATGCAAGAATACATATAAGAATTGTAAGTTGGTAAGGGAGCCCAGAAGAAACCAGAAGGCTTATGAAGCCTGGGCTCCCTAGTCACAAAGAAATAAGTAAAATGAAAATTCACGGAGTAGTGCATTAAAAATACATGTAGTAACAGAAAACTAAACAAAGACTAGTTTAAGTTAAGAATTCAATAACAGAAAAGAAGAAAGTTTTTAACTCTGGATTGGAACAAATACTAAAGGAGGGGGCATCACAAATGAAAGCATTCAGCTTATTAAAGAAAACAGGACCTTGATAAACTTTCTTATGTTGGTACGGCAGAAAGGAATATAAAATTTATTTGAACTACGCGTGTTATAACCAAGAAATGTGTGGCAAGGAAAGATGGATATTCCAGTTTGGACCCATCTACAAAAAAAATCCTGGATCTACCTCTGCTACTGATTTGGTGATAGTGTTACTGTTTTTAAACAATAATATTATTATGCATAAAAGGATGCTTCCAAACAAAGCTATAATGTTGAATGTTTAAACTTGAAATTAATTGTACTCTCCTCTTGACAATGCTGACTTTTTAACAGGTAATAACTTCAGGTAAAAGGTTATCAAAGCTTCACAAAGGCATGTTTCTGATTGTCTTCTTGATAACATTGCAAACATTAACATAGAGATCAAGTCCAGAGTTCCCATCATCAAATAAACGATCAGGAACCTGTCTCCTCAGAATGATCATTTCTTCCTCGGTTAGCTGGATTTGATTCTCAGGAACAACAACACTGTAATCATCATCTATCCCTGAAACACCAGATTCAAAATCAATACCATAACTTATGGTATTGATTTAAGTATCTGGTTCGTAAATTACTGCATCATCCATACTGTGCATAATACCTGCATGCCACAAAGCCACTGGGGACTCATATCCTGCAGTGCGTATCCCAGGGAAGTTCCACTGCTCAACAAACTGCTCAAGTGATGCATTGATCCTGGGTAAATAGATGTAGTGTAGAGCAAAAAGATCAAACTCACTGTGTGAATTAAGCAAACACGAATCTTCCAAGAAATGAAAGATGTCCTTGTAAAAAGCAGTGACAACCCTGTTCATCTCCCACCAAAGTCTCTCAATTCTGACATTGTGGACACTACGTCCTGCTATAAAACTACCTCGATTGACACCTCTCCTCTCAACCATAAACCTTGCAACCTAAACATTTTCGACTCCATGTCACCCCTCACACGCAAAGGCAATCCAAACTCATGGGTTCCCTCAATAAAATATCGTAAGACTGTAGATGCCAAGTTGTTAGGTGCACACTTTAAGTATACAATTGCCCTGCTATAGCCATCTGTACAACCATGTATAACAAACCTCCAATTGACCAGTTTATGGTTGCCGTCAATGTGCCACATATGATTAGAAGCTCCGACATTGTACTGCCTCCTTTGAATAGCAGCTCTCCTGGGCAATGCTCTGCCAACAGGATCAATCGTTCTAAGAATTTCTCTTATTCGGTGTCTTTGTACAAAAATACAGGGCGTAACACATCGATAATTCTGATACTCGATCAAAATCGATAAACATCGATACTAATCAATTGATTAATATCGGAAATCGATAAAAATCGATCGCCAGATTCTTTGTGATTATCGATTTGATCGATTTCGTTCGATTAGTATCGATTTCGTTCGATTAGTATCGATCTCGTTCGATTAGTATCGATTTCGATCATAATATTGGGCAAGAAAAGGTACTGTTCACGCTTATAGAACGAAGAATATACGTTAGCGAACTAACCTAAGACGTTCGTTAGCGAAACAACTACTAAGCGAAACAACCGGTTTCCCGCTAAAAGATTCCATTTTGATGAAGTTTGTTTGGACAATCTTTTATTTGTCTCTCCTAACCTTTTTGACGCTGGAAACATTGTAAGACATGAACATATATATTCTTCTCGCGGGTATCGAAACGAAGAAATGATTCACCTTAAAAATTGACGTTAATTACTATCTACATTGTATTTCATATCTTTTAAAACAACAGTAAAACAACAACAGTAACAAAACAACAGTAACAGTAACAGTAACAGTAACTTTATATCAAACTGATAAAAATGCTGAGAATGGCACAAACACTGTTCAAAACAGGATCTGATAAAATGCCGCGGGCACCCCACCCCCTCGCCCCAGTCTCCCCTAATTTCTTAGCTATCGCGCCTTGCTCTCGCCGATGCGTTTGACAAACACGCTAAAGCCGGCTAAAGGTGTTCTGTCGACTATCCGTGACTGACTATATTTGCACATTTTTCTAATATACTCAGCAGCATACTGAATGCAGAATGAATGGGCCGGTGAATGCTGAATGGGTCGGTGGGTCAAAGAATTTAATCTCAAACCGAAAATGATGGCTGCTGACAAAATGCGTTTGCTGAGGTTTGCTAGTTTGACGCCTGAGAGTTGCCGTTGTTCGGCGTTGTTTAATAGCCGGTGTTAAGGTATGAAAGCGGATGAAAGCGATGGTTAATCAGAGTTAATACAGGGTGCACTAAGCCAGTCTTGCTTTGTAGTAAATATATTCAACGCTATTGTTTCGATCAAATTGGCTTACTCGGGGCAGATTATGAGCGGTTGTTTTCTCGTGGAATCTTCGAAAATTTCACGAAATCGATAGAAATCGATACCAAATGCTCAAACTTGTGTGATTATCGATTTTGATCGATTAATTTGCTTAATCGATTGATTATTATCGAGTAATATCGAGTAGTATCGATTTATCGATTAGCTTTCCGATGATCGATTTCGATCGATGTGTTACGCCCTGAAAAATACCACGAGCTCGCAAACCACCACTGACATATGACTCACCAGCATAAGGTGTCTGTGTCAACACTCCCGTGATGACAGTGTAAAGTTCCTCATAGCTGATGTCTACAAAGCTTTCATGAAGTCCAAGTTCCTGTCTACGACGATACAACGTACTGTCACTTATCCCAAGTGTTGGTGCTATTCTCTTCGTACTCATCCCAGTTTCTCGCAGGGTTTCGATTTGATCTTCGGTTATCCTGTATCTAGGTCTTCCTCCGGTACTTGCCTCTTTACTAGGAACCCAAGCTGCTGACTGAACACTGTTTGCCTCTCTCTGAACCTTAGTGGTATAGATTTCATACAGCAAGCTTTGAGAAAACGTCTGTAGGTTTGAAACAATCTGCTTTAATTCATCACCGCCGTAATCTTGTATAGCAATTGCAATTGCATTGACAATTTGAAGGTGGTCCTCGAGTCGGCTTTCTGAATAATCCAGAGGGACAGAATTGCATTCATCTTTTAAAGCCTTATCGGCTTCCTCGAAACAATGTCCCAAGAACATTGTCCATCGGAGGCCATCATCTCAGCTCACGTTCAGTCCCTCTTTACATTCTACTGAATGTAAAGAACATGATTTATCCCCACTTGTTTCCAGTTCTCTTTGATTGTCACCGCCAAAATCGATAATTTCAATCATTGCATTTGACATTCTGGATCCCCAATCGACACTTCTTCTTTCCAGTCCTTTAGATCTTCAGAGTTCATTACCGATCTTTCTTTCGACCACAGCGATTGTGTTTCTAGTATACAAACCCTGTTTAGATAATAGCGATCGTGGTTCTTATTAATCAATCGATAATCTCAACCATAAAGATCTTCATTCTCAACCACCGATCGAAAAACTCAATCACAACGATCGTGATCTTGATCATCACTCGAGCATTCGTACCACTTTTGAATTATATGGCCTCCCATAGGCTTTCCATACAGAAGAGCCTTTATCATCTCGCATCCGTCGTTCACCTCAATTCCCTACAAAAATTTACCGTAACATCGAATATCACCGAAGCCCAATGATCTCATTCAGTAACTGTAACCTTGGTCAGCCCTTGAAGCGCATAATTTAGTCGACTTTATCGTGCTGTGAGAAAACATCGTTGTTGATCACATAGCTTGACCCCGGGGGAGGCACTTGGGTATTTTTTGGGTGGGTATGTGCCGCCCAGGACTCCAAGTTGGCACCCCGTTCTAAAAAAAATTCCCCTAAAATAGATACCCCGTTCTAGAAATAGGCCAATTTTTTATACTCCATTCTAGAAAGTTTGTAAATTGAAATAGGCCTGTTTTTTTAAAAACATATTTCTTTATTTGTTCGACTTATACATCAAATAAATGCTTCTTCACAATCATGCAGGGCACGTTTCCTGTGCATATGGAAACAATGCGGTTAATTTCTACGCAAAATCTCTCACCACGCACAGAACCACGCTCGTAAGCTAACGATTTTCCTTCTCCTCTCCCGTCCCTTTCTTTTGAGCCCGTCTCCATCTCCCTCGGGTACATTATGGACTCGTTCCAGACTTCCGCGCGCCTATTTATCCAAGATGGCGGAGTCAGCGCTACCCGGCACGCTATAGGCTGCAAAACAGTCCGCATTTTTGCGTATCCAAGTACGCGCGAGCAGTCAAACAAAAGGTCTGGAACGAGGCTGAAAACAGAGAGCGAGACTGGGGAGAGACGCTAAAAATACTTTACTAATCTTTTTCTCTCACGGGCGTATGAGGCTCGCGCGCTTTGCGCGCAAGACTCTTACGCCACGCTTTACCGATTTCTTTACTGATTTTGAGAAAAAAACCGACTGTTTTACAGTCTATCCACGCTAAAACACAGGATGCGACAAGAGTACAACAGTTTGCTTGTTAACGCATTGAACCGTGTTTTTAAAAGCAATCTGTCCTTGAATAATTTCAAATGGCTGCTTACAAAACTGCCTGAGCTTTCGTGCGTTGGAAATATTATACCCCGTTCTAGAAAACGCCTCAGAAATGGATACCCCGTTCTAAATCAGGAGCTTCAAAATCACGACCCCGTTGGGCTACACATACACGTACAGGTAATGTATGGGAGTACCCAGCCTCCCCCCCCCCCCCCCGGGGGGGGCTTGACAGACTAAACTCAAGGAACCACACCGTGACATTACTGTTGTATGCGTGACTTTTTATTTATTTTTGTCTTTACCATTTAGCCTCGTTTTCATGAACATCTCCGTCATATCCAGCTCGCCCATGGAAAGGAAGAAGCCGTTCACTATACACCGAATGCAAATATGGCGGATCTCTCGGTCGGCCCGGGTCTAGTTGCGCGAAAGCGAGGCTAGTGAGGCCTCGATAGTTTTGTTTTGACTGCGCGTCTTAGCGATTCAGTCGATGAATATGGTTTGCATCGAGTTGTTACGTGCTTAAGAGCCATCAAATAGGAGATTTAACTCCAGCAGAGACGAAAGTTGACTATCTTCGCTTTGCCAAAGTTCTTTACGAAGAAAGAAATGGATTCAAGCGATTCGGCGCGGCGAATGGAGGCACTCTACTATCACGGAGTTATTTTTTAAAAGAACGAAAGTGTGCTTGCTTCACTTCAGAAGAGAAGACTCACGAAACTATTAGAATGGGTAAATAACTGAAAGATTCATGGTTCTGTTTCAAGTTTGCTTAGTCCGTTCTCTTACCAAGGAAAGGTAAATATCCTCGAGGACGAGTGAATCCGCCGTCGCGAATTACCAATCCTTGGGCACTCTCAGGGACACAACGACAAACAACAAGGGCGAATGTTTTTTCACAGTCTTCACGATCCTGTGTTCAAGAGTTTGAGCAGTGCCATAGAAAAAGCAATTTTTGGAAAATCGCTGTTAGTTTATCTCGAAACCATTCGACAAGTTGCTAAAATAGATCACGCGCAAGGTCAAATACCATGCTCGAATACTTGCACGCTCTTTTTCTTCCAGAACCTTTTTTCTTCTTCCTACTTTCTTAGTTGGCAACGGTTCCTGCGTTAGGTTTTTCAGTGCATTTTGGTCAAGGACTGTTCTTGAAATATGTCGCTTTCTTCTGGTTCTTACATAGTTTCACAGGCCACGCTTGTAGGATTAACAGGCGATTGTTATTGTTGTTGTTTTCAGCGGGAAATCTAAAAGATCTTACGGTGCACCTCGGATGCTCCCGCTCTCGAGAATGTTTACCTTTTGTTGCATAAATAACAGACCATGCAAACATCTTGGAACAGCACCATCTCTTGTTAAAATTATTTCATTCAAAGGCTTTCGTGAGTCTTCTCATCTAAAGCAAGTGAGCGAGCACAGTTTCGCTGTAAAGTGCTTCCCATCGCCGCGCCCAA